TAATAAAACAAATAGATAACCTATTAGTAAAATTAAACAGAAAAGACAGTCTTGAATAGTTAACAAAACTAAAAATAATACAAGACTGCTAAGAAGCAAGTCTAATAGAAAATATATAGAAAATAAAGAAAATATTAAAGAATATTGATAGTTAAAGAAATAACTAACAATATTAAAAGCAAAAAAATTAAAAATAAATATAAGAATAAAAGATAATTTATAAACAACATTCAGGCATAATACCAAAATAAACAAGCTTATAAATATCTGTTTATGAAAAAAAGTAGAATTATAATAAATGAAGCAGGTCTAGTATACTTAAATCAGTTACTAGATACAAAAGAAAAAAGATTAATTATATAACAATAGCTAAAAAATTACTAAGATCTATTAAACAAGAAAAAAAAACCAAAGTTATTCAAAACAAATAAAACTAAAGATGCTCAGTAAACCAGAAAGCAGAGAGATCAAAAGATATTTTAAGACAAGTAGACAAAATACTTAGACAATATAAATTATATAAGAGAGTATCTTAGAAAATAAATGAAAAAAGAATGAATATTATATAGTAAGGATCTGCAAATTACTTATTTTTGAGGCCTGATTTAGCTTGCATTTAGGATTAAATTTTTTTTGCTAGCCAGCCTAGTCCATATATAATTAAATTTTTTTTTAGTCTAGTCTAGTCTAGTTTGTTTTGCAAAATTTTTTATATAATTTTACAAAATTTTAGATTTGGCCTAGTCTGCAATTATAAAATTTTGCTTCAAATTTGATCTGATTTGCAAATTTTTGCAGGCTAGACTGAGTTGCAAAACCCAATATAGACCTTTATTATATGATATACAAAATCATAAATAGTTGGAAAAAATTGTTAAAAAAATAAAAATATTAGTAAAATATTGGCAAATATAAAGTAAAGAAGATAAACTAATTATTAAAATAAATAAATATAATAGTTGTAAAAAAAAATGAAATAGACAAAAGATAGTTACTAATAATAAATTAAAGTAAATAGCAAAATTAACATAGTTTCAAATTAGTGTTTGCAAAGTTTTTATTAGAATACAAATTTGTGAATAAGAACAACTAAAGCTGATTTTTTATATTAGAAAACATCTAAAAATTAACTTTAAAACCACTAAATAGAATATAAGAATACTAATTTAGTTTTAGATTTTAAATACTGTTCCAAATATATTAATAAAAAAGACAACAACAAAATTAATATAGCAATAGATCAAATAACAAAAACAGTAAAGATAAATAGACTAGAATTTGAAAAACAAAAACTTAAAAAGATTACAAAAATAAAAAAGTTAAAAGTTAAAATTATTAGATAACAAAAACTGAAAGAAAACATTAACTAAAAAATAATAAAAGTCTTAAGAAGAAATATAATAAGAAATAAGAATAAATATATAATATATACAGATAATACAGAAAATATAAAGTCAAAAAAGATAAATAATTAAAAATAAAATAAGTATAGAATGAGTTCAAACAAATAAAATATAAGAATGGTCAAAAGAAAAAATAATATTAAGTCTAAAAAGATAATAGACATTAACAATAGTTAAGCTAGTAGCAATATAGGTAGCAATCTTAATAATACTAAAAAAAAAGCAAATAGAAACATATACAGATAGCAATACTATAATAAAAAACATTAGCAAAGACTTAAAACAAGCAAATAAAAATAAAATTTTTTAAAAAAAGAATATAATATAAATAATAAAGTTAAAAACTTTATTATAATAAAAAATATATAGATAAAATTAGTTAAAGTTATAATAAAAATAGATAAAATAACAAAGTTGATAGCCTGATAAAGAAAAAAATAACAAGCAAAAAGATAATACAAGCTGAATAAGTTAGTTATAAAAAGATAGAGTACTGTTTAAAATAAGAAAACAAATAAACTAATATATTAGGAAAATTAATATATAAATTAATAATAAATGCAATATTAAAAACAAAATAAAAAAAAATATAAGTAATTAAAGACTTAGAACCAAAAACAGAAGTTATAATTTACAATTAGACATACTTTTGAAAGACTAAAAATGATTAAAAGAATATATTGTATAATAAGAAAAAGTAATGCCAAAAGAAATGCATTTATAAAATATATAATAGATAAATTTTTAACTTTAGAAAAACTTAACAAAAGAAGATTAGATATATACATAATAATAAAATGCAAATATATTAAAATAAAGTAAAAAAACACAGATATACTTAACAATATGTAGAAACAAAAAAAACTTATAAAAAAAAATTGAAAAAATTGATTATTACAACAGCTTAGAAGAGACTAAAAAAAAAAAATTTAAGTTCTCTTAATACTCTTTAAAAAAATAAAAGTAAAAGAAATAAAAATAAAAAAAAATACTAATCAAAAGTTTAATATAAAAAGAAATACAAAACAGATAGATTATAACAACTCTTAAATATAAAATTAAAATAATAATTCACAAGTATAATAACAAAAATGATCTGAGATACATTTTATAAACAAATATAAAAAATCTGATATAAGAAAATTAATAAATAAAAAAGAAAAGTAAGAATAACAGATAAATTAAAAAAGGAAAAAAAAAAAAACAAGTAAAAAAAAAAACAAAAAAGAAAAATCAAAAAAAAAACAAATCAAAAAAGAAATACAGAAAACAATTTTAAGACTTGTTATGAAAAAAAGAAAACCTTTTTATTATAAATTTTAAGTAATCAAACAAGCAACTTATTTCTGCTTGAAATAATGTAACAGGTTGCATTTAGGTACTATTAAAATGGTCAGGTGATGCTAGACTTAGTTGTTAAGAATATTTATATAATTGCAAATGTAATTTCAAAATCTAATAAAGTACTAACGTAACTGCTTAAAAAAAAATTATTATAATTAAGTAGTTGATATAATTAATTAAAACAACTTGTTATAAATTTATTGTGTAAAATGCAGGTTTTAAATTTAACTTATCGGAGCAATTTTATAAAAAAAAAATCAAACTTTGCATATTTAACATCAACTTTAGATAACCTCAAATAAATGTTAAAAGTTTAATATACATGATATATACCTCCCATGTTACAAATAGACATTACATAATTTTTTATCATTTCGTGTAACAATTTGTCATGTATCGTTTTGATTGACGATGTCCCAATTGGCCAGCTTTAGAATCACAATCGCAATCATGATGATTTTACGTATAAATATTAGTAATCAAAGCGGAATAACCTAAAATACCGGTAACTTTGTACAGATAACGATAACGATAAGTATAAATTTTTATAATTATAACGATAACAATAAGTGTCGCAAATTGAAACCAGTAATTGATCATAGTGATAGTAAATTTCTAATTCATTTCACAAGGTTTAGTTTGGAAGCACTCAACCGGATATGTGAGGAAAAAAATTTCCTAGGATCGCCGCCAAAATACTAATAAAATTTTTCGGTCACGTGAAATTGGTCAATAAAAATCACACCTTGGTGTAACGTAACACGATCAGGAAGATCCGAAACAAACGGTCGTTCTTAAAAATTTGCTTAATAACCCGCTCTAACAAAAAATTCCTTGGGCAAACCCTAACATAAGCGAACTCTAAGATTGGCCAATCAGAATGCGCTATTTGGTATAACAGAATATAACGTGATCAGCAAACATGTTTTTCTGTTTGTTGATTGTTTACATTTCCGAAACTTACCGACAGTTCAGGTTGGCCAAATTTATGTCCGGCCCAAATTATATGCTTAATTTTGCTAGCAAAATGACCCTACAAGCCATTGTTACACGAGATTTTTATTAGGAAAATCATAATAAATCTATTTTTAGAAGAAAAAAAATCCTAGCAAAGATCCCATATACATATATATATAAATTAACTACATTAAAAGCAAACGAAAACTGGTACGTACATAGGTACGTAAACTTTATGCTAATACAAATAAATTACCCTGGTAACTTATTTATGTGTTTTAGAGTACTTTTTAAGAGCACAAATAGCCAATCGTCGCGGTCATTTAAGACCCCAGCGTCACCAGCCTAAAAAAATTTCGCTACCAGCGTAAGGGGTTAGAAATTTTTTAGAGTGATGACGCCAGGGTGGCTCTAACATTGTTTATAGCTTCAAAGGAGCGTTAAAAGGCTAACTTCAACAATAATCTTTAATTTAGCTTAATAACGGTTTTCGGAAATAGGTAAAATTATTTTTTTTTAAAAAATGTTGGTAAGAAAGTTTGGATGTAGCGTTTAGTTTTTAAAGTGTGTTTATGTTTGTTGACCAAAATAAGGGTTTAGAGGTAGTTTGTTAGAGTAGCTATCACTTTATTATATTCCCTATACATACTTACAGACATATACTTACCAATTCATGTAACTTTCGTAAGATTTCTGTTTCTTTCGTTTCCCATAAACGATTAAAGTGATATATTGTAAAGCCATTTTTGTTTAATAATCACGGGTAATCATTGGTAGATATATGAAAATTAACCAATCAGACAATCTTTTTCCTATGACGAACAACCGAATCCAGTATTTATCATTATCTGGCAGGTATCGGAATGGCTGCATTAATATTAACCGTTGCAAATAATTGTCGTCATTCTCTTTATATATTTATAAAAATTGCATTCTTTCTATAACACGAATCTTTATTTTTTTTCAATCATTACATCCTTACTTGAACATCACATCCCCTCTCGTCGTGGTTGCCGCATTTTGTAGTTGTCGACTTTACACTCTGCAATAGCATTTGTATAAAATAAAGAAGCGACAAAGGTAATGAACGTTCAGACGAAGGAAACTTTTTATTTAGCTAATCAAACTTCATGTCACGCGTTTAGCTTGAATAGATTATTGATCAAATTCTTACGTTTCATTTTTCTTAAATTTTATACATTTTTTTCCCATGGTACTGTCGTCAACATTTGCTACTTCGTGCTAAATGAAAAAAATGTAACAGTAATCACATTCTTTGAATAAGTTCTGCTGACAATGTCAGGAACTGAGACTGGTAATAGTAACGAAAAACGCGCTGGCCATTGGGGACCACGTCAACCCCCAAATCTTGATCCTAATCATGAGTGGGCTGCACTTCGCCGTCGTTACGAATGGAATGACTCTTATGATGAAGGCGTTGCACCAAGAGATGAACTGTTGGAAGCAGAACTTTTTGGGGAAGACAACCACGTACACACTGGTATTAATTTCACGAAATATGATAGCATAAAAGTGTCTGTTAAGGGCAAAAATATAAAACCCATATCCACGGTAGGATATTGTTGTTTGTGATTAAACAAGAAATATTTGAGGACACATTTTGTAATATTAGTAAAAATTCTTGCTGTAATTTGTAGTTTGAAGAAGCAAATCTTCACCCAGCTATGAAAGAGAACGTCCGATTGGCACGATATCAAGTTCCTACACCAGTTCAGGTATTGTTGCTGGATTAGACATTCTTAATTTATCAATATTATTATAGATGCAATAGATGTCCAATCATACAGATATTTGATGATCAACATCAGTGATTGTCATAATATTATAATGCAAATTCAAATAATGCAACTTTTATTCTATTCTACTGTTTTTTTTAGAAATATTCTATTCCAATTATTACTGAGGAAAATGATTTGATGGCCTGCGCACAAACTGGCAAGTGATGATGTTTTTTCTTCTTGCTTAAATTGTACATGTTCATGGTATTTATTATTTACTTTATATAACTTCTTAATAGGATCGGGTAAGACGGCAGCTTTCCTTATTCCAATATTATCTAAGCTGTTTGGAAAAGCGAAAAAGCTTGCAGCACCCCGACCCGCCCCTGGCACACGTAGGTATAAAGCCGAACCATTAGTCCTGATCCTTGCACCTACACGTGAGTTGGCCACTCAAATTTTTGATGAATGCCGTCGATTTACCTATAGGAGTATGATGAGGCCATGGTGTGTTCAGTTTGATATTTATGGTAATAAATATTTATTTATAGAATTATTAACCGTATATAATAAATTCGTAATATTATAGTGTGGTCTATGGAGGTGCAGAGACTACTCCTCAAAAGAATGAATTGGCAAAAGGTTGCGACGTGCTGACAGCTACCCCAGGTCGTTTGGCTGATTTCTTGGAGAGAGGTCTCATCAGTCTTCGCAGGGTCAAGTAAGTTTACTATTTATTAAATATCATATTATTTAATTAATATTAAGTTTTTAAATCCTTTTATTATAGATTTTTAGTTCTTGATGAAGCTGATCGAATGTTAGATATGGGATTCGAAAAAAAAATTAGGGAAATTGTTCAGAAATCAGGTAAAATCAACTTTTAAATGTATTTGGTTAAGTATTTAATTAATAGATTTCTCCAAAATAGATATCTTGGATGATGGCACACGACAAACGCTGATGTTTTCGGCCACATTTCCCAAGTCCATCCGATCTCTTGCTCGAGATTTTTTAGCTAATAGTTATGTATTTCTTACCGTCGGCCGTGTTGGTGGGACCACGAGTGATATAACTCAAAAGGTATATGAGAAAATTATGTTTAATATTCATAGAATTATGTTTGCGAGTTTGGTATTAATTAACGAATTTCAAAAAAGATTATGTATGTAGAAGATCATAAAAAACGGGATTCACTTGTCGCTCTTTTGTTGAAACAACCTCCTTCACGAACCTTGGTTTTCGTAAAATCTAAACGTGGTGCAGATTCGCTTGATGATTTCTTGTATTCACAGAATTTCCCAACCACAAGTATTCATGGTGATCGTACACAACAAGAACGTGAAGATGCGTTAATATCTTTCAAGTGGGTACATTACAATCGTGTCAGAATATGCTATGCCACCAGTTTATAATGAAATTTTACATATAGGAATGGTCGATGTCCCATCCTAATTGCTACAGCTGTTGCAGCTCGTGGGCTTGATATCAAAAATGTAATGCATGTTATTAATTATGACCTTTGCGATGATATCGATGAATATGTTCATCGTATTGGAAGGTAAATGATACTCTTAATCCTTTTATTTTGTTCTTTTAACTGTGCAGAAGCTTAAACGTTATTATTTAATAGAACTGCACGTGTTGGAAATCAAGGGTTGGCTACTACTTTTTACAATAATGGAGATTCAGCTATTGCTGGAGACTTAGTAAGAATTTTACTGGAATGTAAGCAAGAAGTTCCCGATTTCTTAAAAGAACATGCAGGAAATGTAGAGCTGTAAGTAATTAATATTTATTTATTTATTCGTACATCTATTTATAAGTTATAACGTTAAATTCTAACTTAATTTATGTAAAGTCGGTTTGATGAAGAAGAAGATGATGATGATGAACAAGGCAATAATCAGTCGAATAGCGGTTTTGACGGAAATACACAAAAAAGTAGTGGATATTCCTCGTGGGATAATAACCAGAAACCTTGGGATAAGGGCGGCCAGAGGCAATGGGATAATAGCGGCCAGAAACAATGGAATAATAACGACCAAGGGCAACGGAACAACAATAACCAGAGGCATTGGGACAATAATAACCAGCAATCCTGGGGAAACCAACAACAAGATTCGACCTGGGGAGATAATCAAAACCAGTCTTTAAAACCGCAGTCTCAAACAACTTCATCAACGGTATTTGACGTTAACGTCAATCTATATCATTTACCTGTTTAAGAATTACCAACCACACCAACTTAATATGCTATCGTTCTAATTGTACAGGTTGCTAGTAACGATAACTGGCCAAATCCGCCCACTGCTCAGCCTACATATCAGTATCAATCTATGCCTTATACACAACCTAATCAAACTCAATATGCAACATCTACATATAATCAGCCAATTCCTTCACAATCTCCGTATGTCGGAGCACAACAACCAATAGTGAACCTTCCAAGGAGTAACAGTAATAACAATGATGATGGTTCACCATCTCGTCCTCGTTCAAAATCTCCAAAACAACAAAGGAATCAACGACGGACTCGCAATAATGGTAATTGGCAGCAGGATGATAGCACCGGAAATCGTAATACAAATCAAACTAGTTCAGATGGTTGGGGTAATGATGCTACTCGAGATGCGCCAAAAAAAGACTGGGATCCAAATAACGTTCCTTGGCAATAAGGTTCCTATTTTGAATTATGATATTACCACATGGTTTGGGTTTGGAAATCGGGATTTCTACTTCATTGTGATAATAACCAAAATCTAAATATATGTTCATTCTTAGTCAATAGTGTAAAATTCAAAAACCAATAAAATTGTTAAGTCAATGCTATAAATTATTAAAACTTCGTTATTTGTTTTTCAAATTAAGAATTTTAACGACTATGCAGAATAGATTAAATAAGGTGATACGTTGCAGTGGGTCTAATTATTATGTCGAAGATGTGCTGCTAAATGAAAAAATGAATTTTTTGAGAATCTTGTAATTTGTCTAATAGACAGAAATAAGTTTTAGCACCAAATTTTACGAACACGATTTTTTTGTGGCATATTGAAAAAACTTTTAAGTTATGGTTGGTGCTTACTTTACGATTAGGTGTTAGTGTATATATTGTAATTTTTTTTTTTTAGTTTTTAATCTTTTGGTAACAATGTTAATTCAGTTTATTAGGTTTTTATGAATTCTTACAGTACATATTATTTATATACATATCGATATATATATATATGATTAATTACGTATTACTAACGCTAATATTATATTAAATTTGTTTAATTACATTCTTATGATTTTATTTGATTATCCAAATGATGTTTAAGTATTTGTCTATTTGTATTGTCTTATATAACAGTTATTATAATTATTATTATATTTATGATCAGTATATTATTAATTTGTTATACAAAATAAGAATACATTTTAACTTAAGGGTAGGGTGTAATATTTTAAATTTATATATAAACTTGATGGTATATTTTTTTCGTAACTTAAATTACAACAATTTTTACTAATTAAATATTTTTGGAGTTTCTAAATAAAGTTGTATAGTAGGTTTTTGTGATTCTAACAGTAGTAAAATTATTATAATTGGTTTAAAACTCATCGATATATGAATTTTTAAAGATTTTATATAAAAATTTATTATTAAAATTCTCGGTTTTTCGGAAATTAACAAATTAAAGTTAACTTTTTGTGTAATCAGAGAAAAGCAAAGTGTTCACGGAAATTTCAAGATATACAAATATAATTGTTTTTAAATTAAACATCTTATAAAATTTTAACATAATAAATAACTTATTTAAATCTATATATTATTGAATTTTGATAAAAATTAATAAAAAATAAAAAATTTTTATTAGTAACATATTTTAATTTATTATATAAAAATTTATTAACATATTATCTAGGTCATATGAAAAATAACTTATGTATATCCTATTCTTAATAGGATATTTTTGTTAGAAATAAATCTTTATTTGTATTTATGTGTTTTATTTATATGTTGTTTGGTTTTTTTATTTTTATTTTTTAATTTTAATTATATTTAATAATATTTTATTTATTACATTTTTATTTATTTGTTATTTGTATAATTTTTAAATTTATAATTTATAATATTTCATCTTTAATATATTTGTTATTAATTCTTTTAAAATTTTTTAACTTGTATCTTAAATTAGGTTTATTATTGTTATTAGTTTTTTAATTATTTGTATCTCAAGTTAGATTTGTTGTTATTATTCTTACAAATATTTTAAATTTTAATATTATACAATAATTTAATATTGATATTATTTATAACAAGATGTTTTTTGTTATAAAATTTATTACATTTATAATAAAAACAACAAAATGTTTTTTGTTATAAAATTTATTATATTTGTAATTAAACAATTTTAATTGTAATTAAAAAAGTTTGTTATATTATTATATATAATATTTTTTTAAACTAATATATATAATAATTAGTTTTTATATTATATTTAATAAATTATTAGCTTGAAATACTAGTAACTTACTAATTATTATTTATTTTTTTTATTAAGTTAAAGTTTCTATTTTTGAAATGCTATACTTAAAAGCTAACTATAAGTTTTGTTTATTTAAACTTATAGAATCTGTTATATCTCACATATAGCTAGTATTTTATTAAAATTCTTAAAACTATACAAATTATATAAAATTTTTCTAATATTTAAGTTTAGCATTATTTGGCATTTCAAATAGTACCTAATACAATTTGTTGTACTATTTTAATCAAAAGTAGACTGCTTTTCTGACTATCACTCTATAATAGAATATTACTAATTTGATGATGTTTTTTCATAAAAAAACAAAAAAACAAAAAAAAGAATTATATATATATATACTGTATAAAAAATATAAAGATATAGGAGTAAATAAAAAATATAAAACAAGAAATAAAAGAAATAAAAATAAATAAATAAAAAAACAAAATATAAAATTTGCAATTCATAAATATCAAATAATTACAATTATAAATCTGTATTAGGCTTTAAAAATTATAAACTATACTAAATAGAACTAACTATTATTTTTTTATTTACTTAGATTATTTAACAAAAAATTATAATAAAAAAAAACTTTAACTTGGTTGTAGAAGGTTAGTATAAAGCATTAGTTAGTTTAGAGACAGTATTTAATAGATTTCTAATAACTTAAAACATATATATACTTATAATTGTATTATTATATATCTTTGATTTATGTTATTAATAAACCTATTTAGAAAATAAATATTACTAACTATTTTGATAATTTTATATATTAATCTTCAAAAAAAATAAACCAAATTACTTACTTTTTATAAAATTTTTATTAAAAAAAAAGTAAAGGCAGCAGATAAATTAACTTTATAACTTCTATAAGTTTTTAATCTTTTTAGATATTTTTTATAAGTTTTATAATTATATAAAACTAATATATTTAACTTTGTTATTTACTTTATAAAAAACTTTAACTTTTATTAACTATTTTAAAACTATTAGTTATTAGTAGCTATTGCTTTTATTGTAATTTAATTATAGTTATATAACTTATATAAGATAAGTATGCAACTAGTCACATATATAGCTTTTGGCTATCTATTTAAATAGTCTGTCTACAGGTTCTATACTAACTGTCATTGTTGTAATCTGCTAAAAGATTATTTAATTAAATACTCTTATCCCTATATTATATCTTAAAAGTCTACAAATTGCCTATTTTTAAGACCTAACTTAGCTTGCATTTAGAGTTAAAATTTTTTTTCTAGTTTGGTTTGGCTTATATTTAGGATAAAAATTTTTTTGCCAGCCTGACCTAGCTTGCATATATTAAATTTTTTCTTAGACCTAGCTTAACTTAGTTTAGTCTTCAAAATTTATTATAAAATTTTACAAATTTTTCAGTCTAACCTAGCTTACAATTATAAAATTTTGCAAAATTTTTGATTTAGCTTAGCTTATAATTATAAAATTTTGCTTCAGGCTTAACCTAATTTGTAAAAATTTGCAGACTGAGTCAGATTGCAAAACTCAATACAGGCCTCTACTATAGATAATTATACAAGTTTTTGTATATTTAAGTATTGTTTAATCTAACTTTAACCTTACTGTCTATATATCTGTCAAGCTGTTATATATTTTAGAGTATATCATTTGACTGTAGAGCTTTAGAAGACTTTTTTGCTAATTAACTACTGACATTTAGTTTTTGTTAACAAGGCTTATCTTGCAAAGTTTATTTAGATCTCAGTATCTATTTTATAGCATATCTTCAGTACTTATAGTATATCTCTGCTTTTGGCATCAGACTTCTAATTTAGATAGTTTAAAAAAACTGTAATCTGTTTTTAATATATTAGAGTTATGTTATTTAATATCCTTTTTCTTTAGTTTGAGACTTCTATCAACCTGATTGGTAATACTCCTTATCCAAAGTTCTTATTCATCTGATTTCTCTACATTAGTATTTATTTTCTAGGTCTAGCTTTTATACTAGTATCATTAAAGATTTATATTATTTTTTTATTTAAGTTACTTAAGTAAATTCTGGCTTTCTAGTTTTACAAATTTATATAGCCATAAAGACTTATTTTAGGTTTGCACCACCTATTACCAGTTTACATTTCTCTGTATAATTATTTATACAGATATTCCATAACCTATCAGTTATACTAGTATGATTATAGTTACAAATATCTTATCTTAACTGATTAACAGAATGCTATTACTATAATACTATCTATATATTACATAGGTAATTATTTAAATTTTTACTGTTGATATGTTTTGAACTTATAATCTACTACTTGAAGAGTTGACAACTTATTTATTTTACTAAGTAATTATATTACTTAACTACTTTTTTTATAATTTCAAAAATCTTTAAACTATTATTACAAAGTTGCAACTTCTTTTTTAACTTTATTTTAATATTCAACTATGTATATACAATACTTTAAAAAAGTTTTTATAAAGTTTAATATTTTAACTATATTATTTTTTTGTAGTTTAGTTTTTTATGAAGTTTGGTTCAAATAATTATTAGAAAAAGTTAAAGTTTTTTTCATATAATAATTATTTTATTAACATATATAAGATTAGTTTATAACTATTTTTACAAAAATAAAAATATAGTTAGCTACATATATAAGTTTTAGTTGTTTATTTAAGTAGTTCCTCTTAGAGTTCTATACTAGATAACATAACTATATCCTACTAAAAGATTATTTATTTAAACTTTTTAATTATTTGCCTTGTTAATTATTTAATTATCACTAAATATTGTATATACTTAATTAGTATACTGTCTAAGCAGTATTGTACTTTTTTTTGAACTAATTCTTAGACTATTACATATTTCAAAACATAACATTTGCTAATAAGATTCAGTGAGTCTTTTTGTTAACTATATTTCTGTTTTGTTTTTAAACTTTCAATTTAAATAGCTTGAAAGAACTATGTTCTGTTCTTAGTATATTAAGTCTGATTTAATATTTTTTTTTTTAGTTTAATTTAGTAATCTGATTGGTAGTACCTTTTATTTAGAAATTCTTGTTCATTTAATTTCTTTATATTGGTATCTGTTTTTTAGATTTAGCTTTTATAATAGTATTATTTTTTTTTATTTTTTTTTATTTTTTAAAGAGAGGTCTATCCTTTATCTCTTTTAT